CTAACAACTTAACTACCTCAGTTTTGAGCTAATCCAAAATCATCCTCAAGTAATGGAGCAAGCATATACTCCACGGCTGATCTCTGTTTGCCCATTTCATTCAGAATCGCTAATTGAGCTTCCTCACAAGCTCTTGCATTTGGGAAACCAAGGGTCCATCTCCCATCTGCCCAATAATGATCAGGCATGCTCAGTTGGTTTCCTCTACCTTTGATTGAATAAAACTGTGGGTCAAACTCTCTGATTCGAAGATGCAACCATGAGGAGTGCTGCTCATCTATCTTAGGCTGCATCAACCAGGTGAAAGGGGTCATTGAAACACAACGAAGAAATGAAAACATGATGAGTTGATAAAAGATTATCAAACCCTTGCCCCCCTAAAAGCTAAAAATTTATGGATTTCTCTGTTATTGTCTTTTGAATTTTAAAAATGAAAACCTGATATGGAAAAATTGGAGTGCTTACGATAAAACTATATAAGGCCATGCGTGCACTCTCAAACAAAACAAAAAAGAGAGGAAAAAAACTCTAAAATGTCAGCAGAAACCGTAATGCTTGACAGCACTCTACCTGTATATCTCTTAGAAAAAAGAGGTAGCTTTGAAGACCAATTTAAAAAACGAGACAACAGAAAGTATATTCACATATTCACATGATTATTATTCTACTTATGTAATTAGACTAACATCATCAAAGACTATAAAAGCTCAGAAGGCCACAGAAATGTACACGTACACATAGCCCTGCCAACGGAGCAATTGCAATCACAACACCATGTCGACTGCGGAATGGGTGCTTCTCTGCTAGAAGCAATTTTCCAACTATTCCACTTGCTACTGGAATCACATATATATCCCTAATTTCAGAATTTGAAAATGAAATTCCACAAGGTAGTCCGTACTCTGCAACAGTTACATATGGTTAGAATTTACAGAAGAAAAAGAAATGCCGGAGGCAGAACCAAGTATATAGACAGGTGCCTACCCAACGAAACATTGGACCCAAAGCTAGCAGATGAAATATTTGAAGAACGAATTACTCCAGAATCATTGGTGGAACTGGAAATCATGTTCAACAATGGCTTCTCTGGCAATGCTCCTTTGAAAATAAATGTCCTCAACTGGATGTGGAGAACAAAAGCCTGAATAAACAACTGGTATTAGAAGTATGGAACAATGTAATGTTTTGGTCAAACAAGGAAATTCATGAGCTGATTAAATCCCCGCCAAAAATGCAGGAAACGTACGCATTTAAGATAAATTTGATAAAAACAAGAGAAAAAAGAGAATCCAGAGCCAAATACCAGAGATTATATTAAAGTTCGGCAGAACTTCATGCATAGTAAAAGAAAAGTGATACAAAGTTTATCAAGTCAACTTCAATGCCACAAGGGTGCGATGAAATATTTCATTAAACAATTCACAGCCTTCACTATTGGACTCTCTGGTTCATTAAACAAAACAGATTCAAAAAATACCTCCCCTCTCCTATATTTTCCTCCAACCAAACACTACGTAAAAGATGCTCCAGTTTTACAACGTAGTCATATTGAATTCCATTTGACAGAAGAAGCACAGGCAATATATGCCTCACTTTGCATTTATTATGCCTTATAAACTTTTTTATTTGGAAAGGTACACTTACCTCCTTTATTATGTGTAATTGCTCAAAAATCAGAAGGTACAGCAATAAGGAGAGTACATACTACATAATGTAAGTGATATTGGGTAATTTCTCAAAAAGTAGGGATGTTGGTAGGGTACGTACTGACCTCAGGGGATGCGAGTAAACTAATCACTCCGTTCCTTTTACTAGTTTCCTCTATAGTATCATCCGGTCTTCTATCCCTTCTACTCAAACTATCTTATGTTTAACACACTTTTTACACTTGTAACCCTGTCTTATATTTCCCTTTACCCACACAACAATCTCATCTCTGCAATTTGTTTTTCACTCCTGTTCGCACCGTCATACCAAATATTCTTTACCATAAAGCATTTTTGTAATACATGTCCACTTAAATTTTCCTAATTTTGGTCGGAACCTCTTTTATTTCAATTGTGAAACATTTATTCATCCTCCCAATATTTTCCAGGCATCTACGATTGACTCACTATTACTCCTACACTTCCAATTGATCTAGCTCCTATGACTCCGGCAACATATGAAAATATTATCAAATGGTGTGAGACTCGTGATATAATAATAAGAGTGCCTTGGTGACACACTGGTAATTCATTTGTTTGTCCATCTCAATCTCTTTCTGTTGGTCATTGACTTCGGTGCAACTAATCATATATCCGGTAATCGTTCTCTTTTCTTTTTCTTTGCTATAGACAATTTGCCTTCATCAATTTTGCCTATGGTTGACAAAAAAAATCTTCGAGCATTAGAATCACCTAACCCCTCCCATCCATTATTGTAAATTGCCTGACGTAGTATGTTTTCCATGCAGATTTGTAACATATATACATTGTCTTTTTGCTCCAGTGTGCCCATGACTAGCCAGTGCCAAGGCTTGATGTAAAGTAAGAACATGGAAAGATGCAATGGGGCTGCATTGGTGCAGAGAAGATGCCTAAATACCAGTTGGTGCAGAGAAGCTGCTTTCGTAACATGCTTTGGGCTGTAATGACGTGTGTGCAAGGAAAGAGGTATACTTAATGTGGTTTTTGAGAAGCAGCATCGCTCTATTAGTATAGCTACGAGTGAAGCAATTCTTTCAACATCAGGGACTGCTATGCACACCCAGTTTGGCTCATAACAAAAGGCCTGTCGCAAATCTCCAACACATATATTGATAATAAATGTGAGCATGGTCTGCATAATTATTTGACAAATTGGAGAGTAAGGAGGTTCCAGGATTATAGGTCTTTGAAAAAGAAAAAGTGCTGAAAGTACAAAAATGAATTTGAGTAGGTTTGTTTTGGTCTGTAATATAAAGATCTCATTAGAAACCATAAGTATATCTAGGAGAGGGGAACTATGTAAATATTTTTTGGATAAGGGTTAGAACACCCAAGTGCTCTACTTTTGATATATCTTTTGCCTATCTATAAAAGAAAAAAAAAAGACTCGATTGACCCAACCGTATGATATCAGGTAGAATAGTTTGGTGTTGCATGTCAGTCACATGCCTTTACTATCTCTTTTCTTCACCATCGGTATGTGCATTTGCAGTCTTTCGAATGATAATTCATGCACAATTAGGACATCTTGGGTTGACAAAATTGAAGAAGATGGTGAAGTTCAAAACATTTCTCTAGTTTGAATTGTTAATCATGTTAGTTACAGAACATTTTCTGTCTTTTCCTGGTAGTCTTAATAAACAAGCTTCATCTCCATTTCGGGACAGTGTATTCTTGTTGGAGGTAACTTCATATAAAAAAATTAAGAAACAAAATGTTATGTCAAGTTCAAGTGTGGGAGTAGAAAACAAGCAACAACATTAGTCACTACTTTTGAGCTCATATTGCTAAAGCAACCCCTCATAAAGCTTAAATTTGAAGAAATTCTCAAATGTACTTTATATGTGACAACTAGGCAGCATTACACATTGTCTCTAATCATGTCTCTCATAATGAGAGAACCAAATATATTCAGGTAGATTGTCATTTCATAGGACAAAAGTTGGAGTGTAGAGACATTACTAGATTTGTCAAGTCCAAAGAAAAATCAACTGGCGTATGCACTAAGTTTCTAAGAGGACCAAGGATCAATCATATTTGCAAAAGTTAAGCACATACAACTTATTTGGTCAAGCTTGAGGAGAAGTGTAATAATTATAGAAATAAGGCGCAAATCATTTATGTATTATTAGGAACTTTTTGATTTTTTTTCTTGTATCATATCACTATTATTAGAATCAAATATCCTCTATTTATTATATTGGTATCATTTTCTCGATATAAACAGAGCAATGTTGTTGTCTAAAAAACCCAGAGTTTCAACTCAATATCTTTCTCTTTCCTATTGTTTAATAAGATCCTTATGATGTTGTAATATAGATCCAAAGATGCATAAACTATATGTAACTTGTGTTTGATCACCAATTTTCACCTCTAAATCAAACCTAATTCATGTCTTGTTGAACTTACATTTCATATCCATACACATACTTAAGAAATTTCAAAAGCCTTTTTCTACAACCCAAGTTTAGAGTTTAATCGTCTTAGCTAATCAACTACAACATGTACTTGTAAATGTATCAAATGCCGTATGAAACAGTGAAATCTGACTTAAACTTCTTATCCTTGTAATTTATATTCAAAACGAACAAAGTAATCAAACTAATATGAATCACAATTGGAAAAAAATATGACAGCACCTTCACTACATCAACCATCCTGTGCCATGCAAAATATGAAGCTCTTTGACCTGTCACAAACATTTTTTTATGAAATCATAAATATAAATAGTACTTGGTTCTGCCCAACATTAAGTAATGACAATACCATTGGTCGGTTGTTGGTGAAGAACAAGCTCCAACATGAATAATGGATCTTTGTATTGAGTAGGTTGTTCAAGAACTGCATGCAATAACAGGGATGCGCATTAGAAAAAAAGTATAGACCATTGTAAGCTAATTTCATATTAGTATAAGGTAATTTATATTAGTAGTACAATCTTAATCCCATCAGATGGACTGTTCTACCTGAATCAAACATCGCCATCGGAATCTATCAAAAACCAAAATTTCAATGACCTTCCTTTTTTTCCATTCAATTACAAAAATATGTATGCACCATGTTGGTCTATTTTAAGCATCTATTAGACTTGTTTTAACTGTTCAAATACCAAGTTACTCAAGAAGATAGTAGGCTCAATCTCTATGTGAACAAATTAATAAATACCTCTTTTACAGCTTTCCAATTCTGCAATTAGTGTATCTGGAATATGATCTAACCAAACTCCTTCAAGTTCTTTCATAAACTTTACACGTGACTGATCATAGGAAGTCTGCCGATGGAAACTAGAAACTATAAAACTTTAGAAATTTTGAACATAAACGAAATTTTTGTAATGGTACTTGTTACAAAACGAGATATAATTGTGGAATAATTTTCCTTGATTATTTGAGGAATAATACATAGGTATTTAAGAAGGAATAAATATCCTAATTAAAGAAATAAATCTCCTGAAATAAAAATCCCAATCACCTAATTTTAGGGATTTCAAATAATAAAATAAATATATAATATTTCCACATATTCTGACAGTACTCATGAACTTATAATAACATGGATAAATCAATGTTAAATCCCATAACATGTATACCTTATCCAAAATTAAAGATGTAATAAATTGACTGCTTGTATACCCAAAATAATAAGTTAACATGTCAAGCATAGTTCGTGAATACATTTATCTATGTTTATTGCATACGTAACTAAGAGGCATTTAAACTACAACAGAGAAGAACAAGCTAAATAAAAGAGAGAGAAGAGGTTATGCAGAAGAACGTGCAAATGAATGGAGATGAAAAAAAGAAAAGAAAAAGGGAAGATCTTATACAATGGCAGTTGCCTAAGTTCAGGTTTTCATTGGGGAATGCTGTGTAACGAGGAAAGACCATGAAAACATGAGGGTGGAAGAAACACGTGGAAGCAGGCGCGTGAGGAAAAAGAATATTAGACTCAATGATTATGATTGGACGGGGATTCATTAAATAGAAGTTTGTTAGAGGATGGAGGGGGGTGCTGTCATTCACGTATTCTCTGACTTCTTCTTTTGTCCTGTGCATTTCTTCTCTGCTGCCATTTCCCTTTCTGTTATATGAACTTTAATACTCAGAATATTTGGAGGACGTTTTTTTACAGAGGATTACGAAAACCATTATAACGTCATTTCATTCTCCTTCCCAAATTTTATTACTGTTATATTGCTGTCTTACATGCTGGTATAGAATCGATGGGGTCAGAACTAGGGAATCAAAATTCAAAAATTTTATGCTGTGTGGATGTTGTTTACAATTTTGCAAGAGGCGTTATGCATAAATTTCAAACTGGAAATTGGAAATCAAATTTTGGAAGTTTGGAGGGAGAACCTAAAGCATATATGATCAAGAAAACAATACAATACAATCAGCAACATACTCATTAGTATGCCATGCTTGAGTGTAACATAACATAACAATTCAATGTGTCAGGATATGTACTTGAATGCGGAAACTAAGTTTAGAAATCAAACTGTGCATTTGGACAAGAGAACAATATTGATCCAGTGGTCAATATGCACACAGGAAAGGAGACATCTTCATGTTTTGTCTTTCATTTTTCTTTTTGGCAGAATCATAAATGTTAAAATCTACATCTATATGGAGAGATTATGGGAGAAGATCATAAGTTTTTCTTCTTTTAGCTTTTGTTCTCCTTTTTTTAAATGGTTTGAAGCAACCCAATTGCCTTTATTAATTATATTTGGTATTGCTGATAACAAAAGAAAAAGATATAACATAACAATTAACCCTCTATTGTTTAGTTCAAATTTTGGTTTCATCATGTGTCTTGTTTCTTGTTCATCTTAACATGTCATTAAAGCTTCTCTGACTAATGGTTTAAATTCTGCTTCTTTCATACCCCGTTAAGAAAAGTTGAAATTTGGCATAAGACAGGTGTATTTGTGTGTTACCCACATTACAAACCTGAAGAACTTTTGCATGACCTTTCATAAAATCTTTCATGTGTTTCAATTTAACAATGTGTTTCATGCATGACATTAGAAATGTTTTAGGACAGTTGATTCATGCTTAAGAACTTTTCTCCAATATTTCAAGATAGAATTCTTCCTTAGTCTTTGCATATTTAAATTGCTTCGAGAATTGTTAGTATGTAATTTAAAACCTTTATGCCAATCGATCCTTACTGATATATTAATATCTAATGGTAATTATTCAACCCTCTCGTCTCTTGTAATAGGATTTTTTTCTCAGCTGAAATGTTTTCTGTATGCATTAAAGTCCATATCTCTACAACGCATTCTCCTAATAGAAGTTCTTTTTCGGCACAAGATATGAGGTGTGTATGTGTATTGCTGACATTTCAAACCCAAAGGACTTTTTCGTGTGGTTGATGAACAAGATTTGTAATATAAAACCATTCACACCTACATTTGACAAGTATATTTGTACCAATAGTTGATTCATAAGAATAACATTAATAACTTTTCCGGAATTTATAATCAAAATTCTAGCTTGAACGAATATTTACGTACGTAAGTTGGCGTCTTTCTGTTATCAAAATAGCTATATATTTTGTGACATTTGTCATCTATCATACATGATAAAAAAACCATCGCTAAATATGTTTCTGGGCAATGATATGACCATTGTTTTAACCCACACAACGTGACATGATGACAATAACATGCATAATCGATCATCTTTAGATTTAAAGACAAAATTCTAGGTAGAACCTATAGTCCTAGAACATTAGGAGAAACAGTTTTTGGTCTGGCAGCTTTCATAATTTCATAACTAATCGTGAGATTAATGATACGCTTCTTCTGCATAATGACTAAAATATTGTACCTAAATTAGTACCTAGATAATCTTCTAGACTTGACAACTGATGGTAGAATTATTACTGAACCGAAACACCAGAAAGAAAAATAATCAAAAGCTATGGAAGTTTCCAAAATTGATACATCTTTAAATTTACTTTACCTAACCAAACTTGTAATAGTAAAATATGAGTATTTCTCCACGCAAGGAGACATCCAGTTGCAAATGTTAAGAAATTAGATTAAGTTGTTGAGCACTTACAGTGAATAGGAGAAGATTATCACTGTCAAGCTCCATTTTATGGAAGACCAGTAGCTTTTGCAGGCACCATCCCGCATGCCATAGCATCATTGTTGAGAGGGGTTGCTGGAAGGCTAAAACGTTCAGCAGTGCTTTTAAAATCTGTTAAATTTAAAAGGAGATGGTAACTTTGTTATTCTGCATGTTGTACAGAACCCAATTCTACTGAACCAACATAAACAGTAGTAAATAAAAAGGACAATTTGATCTAACACCTAAAAAGTAATGTTAGATATACCTAAGGCATAAATTTAATGTTTGATCTAACACATAAAATAATAATGTTAGATATACCTCAGGTATAAACTTAACGAAGATACTTCCATCCACAGTCTTAGATGTTGTGCCATGAGTCTGAAAAATGTACAAATAAAGAATAAAATATAAAACGTATAATGGATCTGAAACAAACTGGTATCAGCTATTGACAAACAAGATATAAACGTATAATGGATCATGTATTAGATTTTTTAAAATCCAATCTAGATTTAATTGAGATCCACTCCTAACAAGATAGGTTTTAGTCACATCAAATGCCGCAGATTCCAAAATTTATAATATTTTTACAAAGAAATAATTTTTCTTTGTAATTTTCTAATTATAAATGCATGTAGTCCTATAATCGGTTTTAAAAGCAAAAATAAATAGAGTAAAAAGCATGTTAACAACAAGCATCAATTTGTGATTATGGAGGCTAGATGATGATTATATATGACTGGAGGGTAGCCATATTGCAAGAGATAGAGGAAGACCAAAACACCGGGCAAAACCATTAAAAAAGATTTAAAGGACAATGGTTTGTCTAAAGGCATGATGGACTCACTATAGAACATTATGGAATCATTTGGCCAATGTAGTCAATCCAACCTAGTTGGTGTTGTATTTTAGAACGGATAAAAAGCTCTGAAATTGTTTGAGCAAAATATACTGTTTTTAGAATAAATGATCCTTAACAGTTTACAGTGTCAGTAATAGATGTGCCACACTATGACATTCTGAAAATTGATGATCCTCTTCAATTTAAACGAATATGTCCATCAATACTTACCATCTCATCCCCCATCTCAGATAGCTTACTCATCAGTGACAAGTCACAATCAAGATCTACAAAACTTGCATGAAATTGAAATAAACAACAAATAACTCAGTGTTTATAATAAATAACTGTAAGACTACATAAATGAACAAAATTACACTACCTTTACTCTCAATCAGGATAAGCAAGAGAAATATTGAAGCTAACAATAGGCTTTGATCCTTACAGAAAAGAAAAGCAAATATTCCACTTCTGCAAAAGTAGCAATTTCATTATATGTATACTTAAATACACTGGAACATGACCACTCCTAAATACATTAATGATCTGTCTCAGTAAATGCTTCCTCCTGATGTCAGGAGCTGCATACCCATGCTGAAGAACAGGTTCTTGATGAAGATATAGAAGCATTAATTGCATCACAAGAAAAAGAGAAAATTAAAGTCGAATTGTAAAATGAAAATACAATCTTCAACAATTTTTGGATCTAACCTTCTCATGCATCACTATTGTATCAAAGCTCAAACAAAATCATTAAACTAACAAGAAATAAAGGAAAAACACAATACATTCCAAGGCTCAGGTAAATAATAATATATTATGATGAAGATGATGATCACCTTATGCAAATCTTCAATAAATCAATAGAAACCAATAATATCCAACGAGGACAAAACATGACATCAACCACCAACACATTTCCTATTATTTCTAATCTGGAAAAGTCATTTATCAGAAATCAATATGCATATACTAGTAAGGCTTGTCCTCTGATTCCCCCCGCAGGTCTTCCTACTGGTAGACATGCTCGGAAACAAAAAAGTATGAGACAAAGTAAAGGGAAAATCTCTCAACATTATCAAGGTCTACAATGAAATTTACACATCAAAACAATCACAACCAACAAATCACCTACCTTTGGGAACAAATTTCACCATTTGGATTATAAATATTGATACTAGACATGAAACCTTCCCAATGAGCACCTAAATAGGTGCCGTTGATACTCTGAGATCCTTTTGACTCGGAAGCACTAGATATAACATTTTCCACTTCATTCAAGCACTTTGAAAAGGTTACAATATCATAATGGAAATCAGAAGTATTCCCTTCACTCAGACTTTTCACATTGAAGTTCAATATATGATACAGAAGAACAAAAGCCACATTGTTAATCGTGCTTCTTCCACCAACAACCTGGAGAAGGCGGGATATGATATATAGCGAAGTGATAGCAGATAAGTCAGATCCCTGGGGCAAAGATATAATTTTAATGAGTAACCATGTGAAAAAAAAAANCATGACATTCTGAAAATTGATGATCCTCTTCAATTTAAACGAATATGTCCATCAATACTTACCATCTCATCCCCCATCTCAGATAGCTTACTCATCAGTGACAAGTCACAATCAAGATCTACAAAACTTGCATGAAATTGAAATAAACAACAAATAACTCAGTGTTTATAATAAATAACTGTAAGACTACATAAATGAACAAAATTACACTACCTTTACTCTCAATCAGGATAAGCAAGAGAAATATTGAAGCTAACAATAGGCTTTGATCCTTACAGAAAAGAAAAGCAAATATTCCACTTCTGCAAAAGTAGCAATTTCATTATATGTATACTTAAATACACTGGAACATGACCACTCCTAAATACATTAATGATCTGTCTCAGTAAATGCTTCCTCCTGATGTCAGGAGCTGCATACCCATGCTGAAGAACAGGTTCTTGATGAAGATATAGAAGCATTAATTGCATCACAAGAAAAAGAGAAAATTAAAGTCGAATTGTAAAATGAAAATACAATCTTCAACAATTTTTGGATCTAACCTTCTCATGCATCACTATTGTATCAAAGCTCAAACAAAATCATTAAACTAACAAGAAATAAAGGAAAAACACAATACATTCCAAGGCTCAGGTAAATAATAATATATTATGATGAAGATGATGATCACCTTATGCAAATCTTCAATAAATCAATAGAAACCAATAATATCCAACGAGGACAAAACATGACATCAACCACCAACACATTTCCTATTATTTCTAATCTGGAAAAGTCATTTATCAGAAATCAATATGCATATACTAGTAAGGCTTGTCCTCTGATTCCCCCCGCAGGTCTTCCTACTGGTAGACATGCTCGGAAACAAAAAAGTATGAGACAAAGTAAAGGGAAAATCTCTCAACATTATCAAGGTCTACAATGAAATTTACACATCAAAACAATCACAACCAACAAATCACCTACCTTTGGGAACAAATTTCACCATTTGGATTATAAATATTGATACTAGACATGAAACCTTCCCAATGAGCACCTAAATAGGTGCCGTTGATACTCTGAGATCCTTTTGACTCGGAAGCACTAGATATAACATTTTCCACTTCATTCAAGCACTTTGAAAAGGTTACAATATCATAATGGAAATCAGAAGTATTCCCTTCACTCAGACTTTTCACATTGAAGTTCAATATATGATACAGAAGAACAAAAGCCACATTGTTAATCGTGCTTCTTCCACCAACAACCTGGAGAAGGCGGGATATGATATATAGCGAAGTGATAGCAGATAAGTCAGATCCCTGGGGCAAAGATATAATTTTAATGAGTAACCATGTGAAAAAAAAATTAGAATAAAATGCAAGTATGACAAGCCTAAATTACTGGAGTTTCCACCCAGACTTCTCTTCATATTTCTTTCCTTTCATAACAAATCTGTGTTGAACCTTTCAATTGGCACACTTTAAGAAGCATAGAAAATACAAGCACATGGGAGAGAAAATTATTTAAATATGATGGTGTGACAAATCTCTTCGATAATCAAATCTAAAAAATGAATGAACTACTGAGAAGTATGAAGGAGGACTTTGTGGTTAGTTTAAATGATGATTTTCTCCTCTCATTCAATTGCGTAGAAGACAAAATTTCCATTTTACCATAATATAGATTAAATATTGGATTTAAGACCTCTAAAGAAAGAAGGGGAATAAAGTCAGAAAGTAAGGATGTGTTCACCATGATTATAATTCAAGTTCTAGTATGCTTAACTCATTTAAAATCAAGCATGGATACTGCTTGGAACCAAGAATTGAAAAGAGAAAGGAAAGAAAGAATTTGATTGAATGGAATGAAAAGAACAAGAAATAGGAGAGCACTCTCTCCTCCAATGGTTTCCCCCTTCACCAAGAGTTAATGCTTAATCTACAAAATTAACATCCTTTTTCTCTCCTTTCCTCCTTCCCATTGTTTATATCTAACTAGCACCTTGAGTTACTAAGTAATATTCTAACTATCTTAAATAATTTCTCTTCTCCTTATATTAACAGATACACTCTTACTTTCTCACTTTATACACCTCACTTCAGAGGAGTCAAATTCCCAAGCATTCACAAATTGGAGAGAACCACCCTATCATAACATACCTGAACCCTAACTTAACATATGGATGGCACAAATGCAGAGAGAAACTAGAACTAAAAGGTAGACTAGTTTGCAGGAAATTTTCTCATCTCACATTTTTATTCTTTGAAGCCATAAATGAACATAGTAGAGGTAACACAAGGCCATTCAAAAGATTTTCCATAACCAGTATAGTCAAACGAGGCTTGCCAACTCTAAGAATGTCTTTGAAGTAGTACAGTTCATCTGCAATTTTTTCAGATTCAAGAATAATCCCATTTCTTCTTTTCTGAGTGTCCATTTTCCTGCTTCAGTATAAGGCAGTTAGCTCTATAAGATAAAACTCTTCTTCAGTGCCTATAAAGTACCAACAACTATTTGATGAAAAAAAAATAGTCAAGTTAACATACTCTTTATCATTGACAAAAGCATCTAACCGAAAGCATAGATCTTTTAATCTACAAATCAGGTCAGAGAAATATTCTGAAACTGGTGGAGTTGATATAAATTGATACACCTTTTCATCACTCACTGTAGAAAAAAGATAAAAATGATGCAAAATTCAGAAATATATTACACTAAGGCGTGCTTATAACCTGTTAGCTATTCAAATAGAGAAGTATACCGTTGTAGATGTTCAGAACAATTGCACGTATAGCTGTCTGAATCATCTTTTCTTCATGTTGAGCAAATCTTAGAGCTCCAGTATACAAGGGAAAGGAGACTACAGCATCCTGCAGTCAAACATTTTAACAAAGAATTTTAAAATACTTTTGCTGAATTTTGCTGGACAAAAAATCAATCTCGGATATACAGTAGAAATTAACTGAAGATGATTGTTCTCCCTTCATAGTGCATCCACAAGGGGTAAAAGTTTTCTCAAAACACTAATTCCTGCTAGAGTCAAGTATGTAACTTCATCCAATATGTTTTCTCAACTTCAATAGCATTGCATTACATTTGTTGATGAGAAGTGGGGAGGTAATGATCTTAGTTTAACAGATAGCAGCTAACTGTGGCACTTGTATGTTTTTCACTTACCCCCTGAATATCCACAAGAAGGCAAAGTGTGTCCCTATTTATTTTGCTGCTAATGGCCCTGAATGAAGAAACAAACAAAACGTTAATTTATTCTATAAATTACTGTAACACAACAAAGAAAAAATTACGTGAAACAAATATCAGAAATTAAAAAATTGACCCCCTTCCCAATACTATTTAAAATAAAGAAAGGAAAAAAATGTAGAACACATAACTGCATGTCTTCAAACAAGCAGGGAAAACTTGCAATATATTTTGAAGTGAAAAAGTGAGATGCAAAGGAGAGGAGGAAAGGACTATACCTTAGGAAAGAAACATAGTATGGAGCTAGGTCTTGTCCATCAAATTTGAAGGGATGTGAAATAATGTTGTTAATATAACCATTACTGAAGCAATAGTCTGCACCATGCAAATAAGAGACACCAATTTATACTAAATACCAGTGACAGTACTAAGCCAAAGAGCCAAGGACTGAAGAGGAACACTGTGATTTGTAAAGTGAATGCATCATGCAGATATCAACTAATTATGCATAAACAAGTAAAACTCAGGAGTCAATGAACTTAACCTGACATCAAAATACTAAAATAACCATCTTACAAATTGAATGTTCACTGTCCATGTTTTGAATCATTATGCTAAGATACTGAAGCAGTGGTGCCTGAATTTTCGAATCTTCACTGATCTTAAGAATGTGAACAAAGTCCGCCAGCACTTGGCGCTCCATGAAACATCTAAAGAACATTTTCAATCCGTCACAATTATAAAAACCTTGTCCAGAAAACAAGAACGACATAAGAACGAAACAGATCCATACTCAAAAATTTGCGGATCTTGTCTATCACCATACATCACAATCTCCACAACGGACTGCAATAAATCCATCACAAGCTCCTGCAATAAAAGGCACACATAAATACATTACAGTTTTCTCATGCAAAAGAAAACGCTCACAGAAATTGACGCTTGTTACCCTGTTACTTTTGTCCACAACGTTGATCATCCGCAGTTCGTTTATTACATGTCTGTAACCACATCAACAAGTAAAAATCCACGAGCACCGAAAACAATTCACAAGATTATTCATAAGTAACAAGTCCGCACTCTGAAAACAATAAAAACCTTAAAATGCATCGTAGACATTCAATTTGTCACCGAAATTTACGAACAATGAAGTAAACGATGAAAATAGCAACGAAATCTCTAGGCGAATTCGATCAATCACTTACTGGAAGTTTTGAACGGAGAAGCGATCGGTGGATCGCCAGAGAGAGCGCAACATGGCGACGGAGATGGAATGAATGAGAGTGAAGAGAGTGAAGAGAGTGATGAGGTGTGGCTGTGCAACGTGAAGGTTGAAGAGCGTTTGGATGAAGCTGTGATAGTATATCGCATTGTAGAGCGAAAACAAATGGTGCAATGCGAATTGCTATTGACAGTGATTTTGTTGCCTGTTTGGTAGCGAGTTGCAGTCTCACCCAACTAACTACCTTTCAATGTATGAAATTCAAGTCAGTCTTCACATAACCAAACAAAGCTTTCGGTTATGCTTTTGCAACGCGGAAAATGGCCATGCAGTATTGCAAGGAACATTCTCACTTCTTCTGTACTTCCACACTCTGAAAAATTAAATTAAATTAAGTTATATGCTCCTCTTCTCTTTAATATCTTATATTCTATATTTGTATTTTCTTTTAATACATTAATACATTCATCCTCTTTTTCATTTATTAGTCATTATCTACCTGGTTTGAAAACTTACTTTTTTAAAATCTAATTAAGTTTAAAAGTTTAAATAAAAATATAAATATATTAAATTAAATTTTAAACTATTCTTCAATATTAATGCTTTTTATTAATAATTCTAGTTTGATTTTTTTTTTTTAAAAAATTTAATGCGTTAATAGCTTGAATATCATAATACCTATACTCATCATCAAAAACATAAAAGATATTTGTAATAATTATACTCTTATAGCCACAAATGTCATACTTTTTGCTGTTCCTATTTCGAATCTTAGAAGTTTCCCCGTTTACTATATCTCATATATACCCAACCTTAAACATATGTCTAGCACATCATTTAGATGATCTAGTCAATCTAGTAAGTTTCAGTGCATATCTTTCTTCGTGTTTGTTGTATTAAAGTTTGTCCTTTTTTTTTTATCCTAATAAAGAATGTCTTTTTATATCAAGTTGTTTATATCTTTTGTCGTGTTTGTTGTATTAAAGTTTGCCTCTTTTTTATAGTAATAAACAATGCCTTTTCAAATGAATAATAGTGAATGAAAAAGTAAGCACTAGCAATGCAACGGTTGCTTCTTTTTTAAACCTGCTTTTAAGTGGCTCTAATCCAAGAAATAAATAAATTCTCATTGTCATTTGGTTCGTGTTGGGTCCTCAAATTCTGCAAATAAACGACACCAAAGTAAAATCTACCAAACATCATATGTTACTCTTGGTGTCGCAAACATAACAGACTTGTCAGCAGATACAACAGATTAGTCCACAGACATGGCTCCATAAGATAGAACATAATACTTTAAGAGGAAAAGAAATTATTAATTCAAAATAAAGTTTGCATCTAAATTCTAATTAAACATGGATTAAAGTTAAACAAGCCGCAACAGGTAAACACACGCCGTTCACGTTCACACGTAAATTTGATATAATTGAANGTGACTCCTAGGTCGTCTCTCAAGGACCAAATTGCGGTTCAGGAATCAGGTCAAACACATAGTGGGGGGTTTTGAAAATGTTTTTGTGAATGCAATTGAACTAAAAAAAATGAAAATTAAACACAACCGAATATAAATAAGAGCATTAAAATGAAACTGCAACAGATAAATATCCAAACACAATTCAAGCTGTAAAAATGCAACTAGTAAGCTATACATTAAAAGTAATTTATCATGGAAATGACACATAGAAAACACGTTAATAGTAAACTAAATTGCAATAATGGAATAAGTAGAAATGACTTTAAAACATTTAAATGCATTTAAGAAAGTTGTAACACGTAAAATATAAAATTCATCCTAGGTCCATAAGAAAGACGATAAAATAAAATATAGTGTGCACAAACCGTGTGGGTCCCTCCAATTTAATCATTGTTGGCTTTCCAAAATAAAACATCATATTCTTTCAAATATAAAATTCAATCTTCAATCCCTTTCCAACAAAGTTATTGAGTGCAGGACACCACACTTCTTTCAATATCTGTATGCCTCTCCATTCTCCCAATGTTCATGCACGCACGTTTCTTTTCTCCAAGCAAAGATGAATCAACTTTTCTTCTTTCAACTCAACCACCGTACGAGTACTCCTATCCCCATCTAATCACCTCTTCATTCTCACAAATAAAGGAAATGAATGTTGCCAAGCCTTGGTCCGTCCCATCATCCTACACTCTCACTTAATCTATTTCTCATTCCATGAACACAAAAGAAAAGCTGGAACGTTCCTTCCAATGCACACCAACATTTTTTCTCTTTGGATATGACTTCCTGAACACCACACACTCACCACGGCAACAAGGTACAAGGAAAAGAAATGATGAACATTGAAAAATGCTAATGGTGGTTCAACGAAATTAATTTCCCAGCCAACAACTCTTTCACTTTGTAATTTAACTACCATCCAAGCTTGAATACAATATATACGAAAAGAAAGAAAGAGAAAAAAAAACCAAATCCCTGGTGCTGCTGGAACGCTGGATGTGAGCTCTCCATTCAACCGTGATCCATCTCTCCACCTCTGCATCTGTGTGCTGCTCTCTGGACGAACATGAGCTCTCTTCCTGCAGAACGTGTCTTCCTCTCCTTCATCCCATATCTCAAAATGTTCAAGAGAATCAAGCCAAAAAAAAAAGCCTGGCGGCTAGACGTGTGTCCCGCTTTTAAATCAAGAAGTGAATCCCTCGTAACCTCCATGTTCTCTGGACCGCTTTGCTGGACGTAGCACTTCATTCCATCCAGCACCCCCTGGGCCGTGACCGAGTGAAGACTTAAATGGTGCAGGCGGTCACACCACTTCCAACTCAACGTGGAATCCGCAGCTGCTCCTACTGGACCGTGTTGCTAGACGCTGCTGGACTTCACCTCTGCTGGGATCCCGTGCACCTCTCCAAATGAATCCAGCCCATTGGTTTTTGAAGCTTCTCTATATGGGCGTGGCATGAGCCTTGCTGGATGCTCCCCAATTGCTTGTGCATGCTCCTACCTTGCTGGACTCTCGGCGTGGGCGTGTGCTTTCTTTCTTCCAGCACCCCCTCAAGTTTGCTTCTTGGACGTGTATGCCTTCCATGTGCTTGATGAAGATAGATGGGCGTGGACTAGCCTTGCTGCTGGCCTTGGTGGACTCTTCTGTTCTCCCCGTGCACACCCCCAATTTACGTGGGCTCCCTTCATTCAATGATCATCCTCTTCTTCATTCACTTCTAAAAATGAAATCCACACGTGGCATTTCTTTTCACCTCCAAATGATTATCCAAAATTTTCCTGCAATTACTAATGCAAATAATTAACTCAAATAATTCAAATTAATTAAAATTAGAATTATTGGTCAAATTGAGCACAATTAGCAAAAACGGAAAAATACCGGACATTTAAGCACAATTCCTCGATTAATTCTAGCACAATAAACTAAGTGAAATGAAAAAAATATTGACTCATCACTTTCCCAAACTCTTTTGTGAAAATATCCCACCTCTCTCATCCTTTATTTCCACTTCTTCACAAACCATTTCCAAACCATGTCTTGAGTTAATATTTTCTTTTTTACACTTAATTCAAGACAAAAATAAAAGTTTTTCTAAAGAGTGATTCCTAGTTTTCATTAAGCAAATTAATCCAATTCCAAAGAAGCCTTCTTCTAATATTCCTTATCTATATACATTGTTTGGAAAACATAAATTCATTAACAAAATGTTTGATTTTTTTGCAGGTTAACATTTGATTCAGGAGGGGTTCCTTTGGATTACAAAAGAAATAAAGTCATTTCATAGTGACATGCTTGCTCAATAACTCACTAATCTCTCTTTGTAGCAGGTTCTTCAAGATTCAAGGTCGAATCCTCTCAAACCTGAAGGGGATGATATGATCATAGATAGGGCAAGGATGAAGAGATTAAAAGAGTGACAAGAAGCATAGAAAGATATAACATAGATTTTATGACTTGTATTTTGGCCTTTAGTAGCATAAGTTGTTCATAAGCTTGTATTTTACCTTTCTTGTTTCTTTTGTCTTAGTTTGGTTGTAGATAAGCTTATATATTCTTCTTTTCTTTAAGGTGCAAACAATGTGGGACTTCACATAGTTTGAACTTAAAAGAAAGAAGAATAAATAAGTCTCTTCTCCTTTTAGTTTCTTGTAATGCAAGTTATCTCATGCATAGTTTTAGTTTTGATCTTTAGACTAGTTAAGTAATTTATATACCCTTAAGAGGTTTTAGAATTACGATATGTGGGACTTAAAACAACCTTGAGTCCTCCAAGTCCCACATCCAAGAGGTTGTCCAAACTTGTAGGCCTCCAAGTCTCACATCTTTTACTTTTCTCCACCTACTTCATTTCCTAGTTCTATATAAGCAACCTAAGGTCTCCTTTGAAAGTACAAACTTTCAAATTTGAAAATAAAAAGTGTTTTACATTCAATTGCATTACTTCTTTGCGATAAAATTTTGTCTCTTAGTCTAAATTTAGGTCTTATCTTATGAAGAATAAGTGGCAATCCTCATTGGGACTTATCTTGGATCCTTTCAAGTGACATGTCTTCAAATCATAAGTTTCCTCTCTTTTTTCTCTTTCATATTTAGTCTTTTAATTCCATTTCTTAATTGTTCTTGTTTAGTTCTTAGCTTTATTTCTCTCTAGGCATGTTGTTCCATGTCATTAGTGAACTTAGAACAATTGAGAGTGGCAAATTTAGCATAAATTCTTTATAATATTTACAAGTTGATTTACAAAGCTTAAGTTACTCCTATTTGTAGAATGAAGGAGTTAACCCAGGTGAAAGAAATGGTAATGAATCTAAAAGCTTCAAGAACCTTATTCAAGAGTGAGGATGCATGCACCTTTCAAGGTGCCTTGGCCTTCAAGTAATGTTCTAAGGGTTACTTGAGGCCTAATTAAGCCCAAAGAGAACCTTAGTTTGCATCGTCACTAAAGAATCAACTTGCAAAGACAAAATTGCACATTTGTGGGACATTTCAAGATTTAATCAATTATGGTACTTACATAATTGGTTAAATTCATCTGCCTTTTAAAAAAATGGCCAAAATAAAAAGCCCAAAAGAAATATATGCTTGGCCTAAATACAAGGCCTAAAGAAAAGACTTATTTACATTTTTACAAAGCTATAAGAGAAGGAAAGACAAACTAATAAACTATTCTCCAAGACAGTAAAGTTCTTTGAAATCCTTCTTCTTCTTCCATTCTCTTAGCCATGACTCTAGTCAAAGGTCCAATGTGGCTCCCTCTAGATA